CCTCATCTGTTTGGTCTTTCGGAGTCTAGCTTTTTATTTTCGCGCACCCACTGAGCATGTTGAGCAGTTACTGGATTTCTGTAGTAGGTGCAGTGTCTGTCGTCTGAGAAAAAGGGATTAAAAACTGTTTACCGCCGATACAAAACCTCTCTGTTGATTTGATTTTTCACTGTGTTTTAACGTACGCGTGGAAAAGTGTTTCAGGAAGCAATTATTTTCTTGTTTCATATGTCTTTTTCTTATGTTGAAGGTAAAATGCCGAATTAATTAAGTGGAATTATTCGGTAATTCACTAGTATGTAGATCGTTCCCTCGGTCTTAGAAAGCTTGCAGTACAGCACTGTGCTTCGAAGTAAAAGGCTTCTTGAACGCCGCGAACAATATTTTTTGTTGTTGTTTAATGAGGTGTCTTCACTAACTGAAAATGTGCTAAAACAGAAGAGAAGTTGAAAATTCTAGTGTAAAGGTGCCAGCAAGGTTAGGTAAATTTTGAGAGCCCTTATGGTTTTTTTATAAGCAGCCTACGGTTCTTTCCCGTCTTTCAAATATTCGCTTTTTTTGTACTGGCTTTGCGTTCTCCTAGAAACGGTTCACTTTTGTTTCACAACGGCCGATCCCAACACAACTGTAGAAAGCAGGGACACGTATAGTTCCTACCCTGTTACAGCAGGAAGAGTGGGGAGGAGGAAGCTGGGCATGGCGGAGGGAAGAGTTCAACAAGATGCAGACAGACTTTTCCAGATTACCTTCAGCTTTAATGCGGTAACTGCAGTCATCGAGTTCTTCATATTAAAATCAGTAGTTCTTTGCATGTTTCGGTCTTGCTGAGAGTGTAATAGGACGCGCGGAAGTGTGATAATGCTTCTTTTCGACTGGTTTAGGATTTGGTTTCTTTTCGATTGGTTTAGGAGCAGTCTGGAAGCATCATGACTCTTCAGCGGTTGAGCATGTCGATATCAACTTGTCATGAAGAAGTACCATGAAAGTTTCGCATAGTTTCGATGGAACTGCGTGGGCGTCGGTCATT